AGTAAATAAATAAAACACCAGGCAACAACCAGGCATCCATTAGAAATATCCTTGGGGAAGACCATGCTCTGGCAACAAGCAATACCAGCTCACCAAAGTCCATGTGCCTCTGTTGATCCCATTGCCAAAGTGGCTACTGCAATACCACATCACAATAACATATCAATTGGAGGGGAGAACCATACAATTATTTTTTAAGATACAGAAGGAGTGTTACTTTGGGGATAAATGTTGGTGATTAAATAAATTCAGCAAGCGTAGTCAGGGAAAAGTCCTCAGCCGTTTGCGGCACAGGGAAAGGAGTCTCAACTGTGCCAGTGGCACTAGTTTCAGGACAGGAGTGACATAAGTTCAGAAAGCAAGGTACTATGTTTATCTATGCCCTCCTCGGTCTCCCTTGAGAGTGTCAGAAGACATGGTGTGTACCTGCTATATTTGGCCTCTTCCAGGAGTAGGACGCACTAATGCCTAGGATCAACTTACCTCTGCGAAAGGCTCTTTGCAGCCTAAAGGAAAGAAAAGAAGAAGAGCAACATTATTGCTGACCTAATCCATTCTTTTCCTAACAAAAAGGCTCTCTGTCCTTCCGAGAGGCACTTCTGAACTGAAAATTAGCAAATGTCAAAGTGCAATAAAGAAGGAAGTAGGAGTAAGAGTTTCCTGGGGTTTGTATTAAGTCGAACATGTACAAAATATTCTAAGCCATGTTTCAAAGCTTCTGCCAATAACAACCAGAGCACCAGAATGGGACAAAAAGGTGGGGGAAGAACAAGCGTGGCACGGAGAGTGTGGAATCAATGCATGCTTTTTTGGTGAGTATAACTGTCTTAATCTTTGTGCTTAACTGCTTACATTGCATGTTTTGTACACTTCTATATAATGCTTTTGTTAGGACGGAAGCAGGGTTTTCAAAACTAGAGTTCACCTGACATTGCAAAGTACAAGGCAGTGGTCTTGAAACTTTTTAAACAGAGGGCCAGTTCACAACCCCTCAGATGGTTGGAGTGCTAGAAAATAGTTTGGAAAAAACATGAATGAATCCCTCTGCACACTGCACATATCTTATTTGTAGTGCAAAAAAATTGAAAGAACAATGCAGTATTGAAAATGAAGAGCGATTTTAACCCACATAAACTTAACAGTATTTTAATGGGAAGTGTGGGCCTGCTTTTGAATGATGAGATATTCAAGTTAAATAGGTTTGTTGTAGTTACTGTGTGTCCGCAAGTCATTTCAGACTTAGGGCAACCCTAAGTCTAAAGTCTAGTGCAGCAGCTGGGTAAATGCCCTTGGAGGGCTGCATCTGGCTTGCAGGCCTTAGTTTGGGGACCCTGTTACAAGTTGTTGCTTATAACCTTTAAAGCCACTGCACTGTGACTGATACAGATTGAGCATCTCTTATCTGAAAATCTAAAATCTGAAATATTTCAAAAACTGTAATTGTTCACACAGGTGACTGAGACAGTGATACTGCTGCTTTCTAATAGTTCCGTGAAGAAAAACTTTGTTTCATGCACAAAATTATTTAAAACAAAACATTGTGTATAAAAATATGTTTAGGCAACGTGCATAGTGTATCTGAAACATAGATGAATGTTGTATTTGCACTTGATTCCCATCTCCAAGATATCTCATTATTTACATATATGCAAATACAAATATTACAAAAAAAATTAAAAACCCAAAATACTTCTGGCCCCAAGCATTTCCGATAGGACAAGGATTTTCATCCTACACACAAAACATTTGTATCGCTTTCCATTGGCAAGTGGCTAGGTTTGGTTATTCCAGTCTTACCTGCAGGAGTTCATCTTGCATCTTCAGGATAAGATTTTCTAAAGAGGAAAGTTCCTGGTCATTTCTCTTCTTTTCAGTCTGATGTTCCATCTCTTCCATCTGGGTCCAGAGATGCTTCTTCTTGTCTTTCAGAAACCAGCAATTTTGTGTGATTTTTTCCATCTCTGCATCTTCCTGGTTTTGCAATAAACAGAAGAAAAGGGAAGTAAACGACTTTAGAACCACCAATGTTTCCAGCCAGCTCCTATAATAAATCCACTAAATACCAAGCTTTCAGAAAGTGACCATAAGGCTTAAGCCCTCATCCAAAAGAATAGTCTTTCATGTGTTTCCATAATTCCTGACCAGTAGGAGCTGTTGAGGTGGAACCACATTGAAGAAAACAATTTGCTTAGGCATGCAAGTTGTATATGCAATGAAGATTAATTCAATGTTTGCATTTGGTTCCCATATCATACAAATATTACAAAAAATTTAAAAGCCTAAAACACTTCTGGTGCCAAGCAATTTTAGATACAGCAAGGATTCTCCACCCATATACAAAATTTTTGTATCTCCTTCCATTGGCAAACTGCTACATTTGTTTTGGCCAGTCTTACCTGCAGGAGTTTCTCTTGCATCTTCAGGATGAGATTTTCTCGAGAAGGAAGTTCCTCGTCATTTGTCTTCCTTCTAATCTGATATTCCTTCTCTTCCAACTGGGCCAAGAGATGCTTCTTATGGTCCTTCAGAAACCAGATTTTTTCCATCTCTGCATCTCCCTGGTTTGCAGTAAACAGAAGAAAGGGGAAGTAAATGAGTCTCATATTAGAACTGGGTTGCCGGGGTGACAAAGTAGAAAGGGATCTGATGGTCAAGTAGAAAAGAAAACAGATATTATCTATCAAATAAACAGCTGACTAGTAACATCTGGTGAATATCTTTTGCATTGTTTTACCTCATTATAAAATTATGGGCTTTTCTTGGCAAAATGTTTTCAGAGGGGATGATTTTTTGTCACTTTCTGAGGCTGAAAATTGTGGCCTATTTAAAGCCACCAAGTTGGTTTGCATGGTTGAGCAGGGATTCAAACCTTGGTCTCCAGAGTTGTGCTCCAGCACTCAAATGATTATACCATGCAGCCATAGAAACCCTCTCTAATTTTCACTATGGGTCTTTCCAGACAGCCATATAACCCAGAATATCAAGGCAGAATAATCCACAATATCTGCATTGAACTGGAATATCTGAGTCCACACTGCCATACATCCCAGTTTAAAGCAAATAAGGTGGGATTTATTCAGCTGTCTGAAAGGGGCCTATATACCCTGTTCAGACCGTACCTTTATCCCAGGAGCTTCCACAGCAAACAGGCAGGTGGCCTGATATTGTTCCCCGTAAATGTGGAAACAATAGCTACAAACAGCAAAAAACACGAGATTTTCAGGTGTGGGAATATCCCGTTTCTGAGCAAAAAATCCACATCTTCAAATGTCTATAGGTCTCTGCACTCGGAAATCATGGGATTTTTAAAATCTAGGTTTGTTCCTGGATTTTAGATGTTTGTTTCTGACTGGATGGTTCCTAAAAAGAAGGTGACAGTTGAGTAGAATGTGAAAACTTTGTTTGTGTGCCAGAAATTTAATGAAATGTGTGGAGAGCACATTTGCTCTGGCCTGGACAAAGTTGTGGCCCTTAGTCAACATTGTACATATTTTCACAATAAGAACAATCAGGAACAGATATGTATAACCCAGGAACAACACCCTGTCTACACAGGTGGCCCTGCAGCTTATATAACGTAGGAACAGAACTTAAACAATGATTCGCATCTTCACACATTCGTATCTTAATTTTTTTTTAAAAAAAACTCACCAACATTTTCGGGGGAAGTCCTGTGGCAGCCATCTTGGAAGCCTCTAAATCCTGAAATGAAGCAGCAAGTATGGATGACAGAAGCAGAAATCCCAGAACCAACAGGTCTCTTCTGAAGTCCCAGGAAATTTTTGCCCCTGATTAAAACCCGCAATTTGGTGCTGTCTGGAAGCCCCCCCCCCCCCAGTGTGTTTGTCTTTAATCCATCAAAGGTTTATATTATAAGAGTCGATTTTCTTGTGAAATGAGGTTGTCTTGTTCCTGATTCATCTGCATTTTATATAACGTTTTCCACAGATTTGTCTTTCTTTTTCTATCTCTACTTTATACATTAGAAGGGCATCCAACCCAACCAGGCAGGAACAGTCAAAGCCCTCCCAACAGACTGCCATCCAGCCTCAGTTCAAAAACCACCAGAAAAGGAGACTCCACTGGACTCCCAGGCAGTCTATACATTACTGGAGTTCAAAGAGAGCCCCAAAGGGCATCTAGTCCAACCCCCTTCAACCAGACAGAAATATACAGTCAAAGCACCCCTGGATGGCCTTCCAACCTTGGGTGAAAAATTTCCCGAGAGGATTAATCACTACAGACATGGAGTATTGATGCTGTTCAACTATAAGTACTGTTATAACTTTTATAATTTATAATGTGAGAGAAATAAGGTTGAACACTGTGAAAGCCACCCACTACATGGCTACCAGCCTCCTCCCAGTAGACTGAAATCAAGGAAAAGCTTTATGAGAACTACCACTCCTCTTGGCGTCCCCCCAGCAACAGCAAGGGTATTCCTCTGGGCAGCTAAACCAGGAAATCCCAATTGAATGGCCCCCCATGAGGGTCTTCCTCCAGGGGCAAACCAAGAATGAGCAACTTGGAAGTCCCTGAACAGACTCAGAAGCAGAATGGGAAGATCAAAAGACAACCTGGCAAAATGGCACTACCTAAAATAATCCCACACCTTGTGTGACTGTGGAGCAGAACAGACAACTCCACATCTGTATGATTGCCCACTGTGCCCTGCCTCATTTCCAGAGGAAGAATTGTTGGAGGTTACAGACAATGTCATTGCTGTTGCCCGTTTTTGGTCAAAAGATATTTAGCCGCCTGCGCTCCTTCTATTTTATCAGTTTTATACTAATTTATGCAATGCTTTTGATACAAAATAAATAAATAAAATTTAGCACAATTTGTTGATTGAGTTGCATTAATTACTACTAAATTGGATAAGTTTTTAAAGAAGAAAATTTGTTGACAATGATGTTTGTGATGAACCACATGGAGCGGCTATAGAAGGAGCTCTATTAGAATCAAGTGTAGTACATAAGAAGTGTAATAGAAAGATTTTCAAACCTCATTTATATAGGAAATGCAAGGCTTTCCTGTTATACAAAAGAGGGAGAGATATTATTTCAGCCTTCTCCAACTAGTGCCCTCCAGATGGATATAATCTTATAATTCTATAAAGTGGAGGCTAATAGAATAAAGAAGGTAACCTCGGCCTTGTTGCACTACTGCTGTGTTGCTGATTGCAATAACTAGATAGATAGATAGATAGATAGATAGATAGATAGATAGATAGATAGATAGATAGATAGATTGTCTCTGATTTAAGGCAACACTATCCTGGGATTTTCTTGGCAAAATTTCTTTAGAGGGCTTTTTTTTTTTTTTTTGTCAAGGTAAGAGAACTCTATTTGCCCACTGCCTTCTATTGTTCACCTTTCTGAGAGTTCGGGATCTTGCCAGACTGAGACTTTGGATCCATCCAGACAGTACCATTATCCCAAGAGCTTCCACAGCAAAAAGGAGAGTGTCTAGATGCCATTCCCTGAATATGTGGAAGCAATTGCTACAAAAGGCAAAAAATGTGAGATTTCCAGTTGCGGGAATATCACGGTTTTGAGCCAAATATGTCTTTGTGTCCCTGCAATTGGAAATCACAGGATTTTTAAATCTAGGTTTGTCCCTGGGTTTTAGATGTTTGTTCCTGATTGGTTGGTTCCTAAAAAGAAGGTGACACTTGAATAGAAGGGAAGAACTTTGTTTGTATGGCAGATACTTCATGAAACATCTGGAAAGCACATTTTCTCTTGCCAGGACAAAGCTGTGGCCTCCGAATCAATGCTGTACATCTTTTCATAAGAAGAGCAATCAGGAACAGCCATGTATAACCCAGGAACAGCACCCTGTTGTTTGATGCCAACCAAATCTGTCTGGACAGATGGTCAGGTAGCCAGGCTCTACAAAGTGTCAATAATGACAAATTTCTGTTCCTGGCATGAAAGTGTGTGTTTGATTGTGCAGTGCTGACTTGGGCAGAAGAGGTGCTACCCCGAAAGCTTTTTTTGTGTGGCAGATGATGCTTCATTAAACACCTGGAGCGCACAGTTTCTCTGGCCAGGACAAAGAACGGAACTTTTGCAGTGATTTGCTGCAGCGATTCTCCACATATCCACATATTCGCATCTTGAGGCTTTTTAAAAAAGATGCTGACGTTTCTGGGAGAATTCCTGCGGCTGCCATCTTTGGAGCCTCTAAATCTTGTAACAAAACATCAAGTTTGGACAATGGAGGCAGAAATCCCGGGACCAATAGGTCTGTATGTGGACCTCTTCTGAAGTGCCAGGATTTTTTGCCCCAGTTTCAAACTCATGTTTTAATGCTGTCTGGAAGAGCCTGTGGTCTCTGTGCAAGTTCAGAATTGGATATTGTAATTGCCTCTACATTTTTTCAAATTAACAAGCATTGTCTCTACAAACACTGAAATATTCACTAAAATTGATTTTGAAATTCCCAGCCTTTTCCTATTTTGTGTGTTTTGCAAGGGCTGTGTGTGTACATTTGATTGGTAAATCTTGCATGATCTGGAACTATTGTCAAACAAATAAAGGAAGCCTTGTAAATAGGAAGGAAATGCTTTCAGTTAATAAAAATAAAGTTACATTTTGCTATTACAAGTCTTTTTTATTTTGTACATTCGGCTATGACAAATTGGCACAGCTTCTTAGGGGTTCATGGGCATGCATGAGCTCAAAGGATTGCAAAATTAACAACGGAAGTCTTGCAAACAATAAGAAAATGCTGAATCAAGAATGGAAATCCCTTTCAGGGCCTGGAATTACCCACGAAACAGTGCAGTTACTTGATTTTTTTTAATGACGTGAATGGAATGAAAGGTCCTCTTGGGCTGCTAGCTGAAAGTAAAATGGCAAGGAGTTTGGGGTGGAGATTCGAGTCATTCACAGGAGGCGTTTTCAATAAATTGGGGATTCCTAAATTGAGGCTGCAGAAAGGGCTTCCAAAGTATTTTCAGATGGTGCGATCAATCGCTGCTGTTTAGGTTTTGGGCTTCAATTTATGGTTAAGCAACTCTAAATGAATGCTACAAGCCTCATGCAATACTCTCCTAGGAGAAAACACCGCCATGACTGAGTCCTCTTCTACACCACCATATAATCCAGATTATCAAATTAGATAATCCACATTATCTTCTTTGCATATATTATATGAGTCTACATTGTCATAAATCCAGTTCAAGGCGGATAATCTCAATTTTATATGGCAGTGTAGAAGGGAGCCTGAATTCTTATTTTAGGATGTTCCTACTTCTGCATTCAGCATTTTATTCTTCTCCTGTTTGCAATAAACTGAATACAATCTTTAACTCTTAAAGAGTGTCCTATAAAGGCTAACGCAGGACTTCTCAAAAGTTCCTTTAACCTTGCCTAGAGTTCTATTTTAAGGCATGTAAATTCTATATTATACAGTATTTTGCATTGTGTTGCTGCTCTTCTCTTAAGGGCCATACAGGCCATCTCCCTGCCAGGACAAGAAATTTACAGCTAAAGCATCTCTGACAGCTGACCATCCAACCTTTTTAAAAACAACAGGGCCCCCAAATTTC